GGAATCGAACCCGAGACCCCAGGATTACAGGTTGTGGTGCGATACTTTCAAGTTGACGACGGGAAATTAAAAAAAAAACACTTCATTTTACACATGACGCATTATATTAAAATATAACTCCCACGTAGTATGACACCTTCCATAAACTGTATAAAGCTACATACAATTTGATTCAAATATAATTTACAATTCTGTCTCCTCTGTACATTTACATCAAGACACGTAACACCTTCCATGGTTTTGACGACTTATCTCGCTTTGAAACAAAGTTTCCCTGAAACAGAATTAATGGGACCTCAGAACAAGTGACTCGAAGGAGAAAAGTTAATTGTGAGAAGCTTACAGTCGCTCACCCTGGTCAAGAAATTGTCCGCCTTTTATAAAACACCAAGGATCAACACTTTCCGCAACACAAGCGCCATGTTGGACAAATTATAAACTATTTTAATTGGTGGTTCATAAATCGTGGTAACGCGTTTGAACAAGAGTTTCATAATTAGAATACGTCAAAAGATAATTAGGATTATCAGGAGAATCGAGAAATGCTATCAATAAATATTTTTAATACGAGTTACGAGACTTTTGGATGATCCCGTACAAAGTCCGTGCCTATTTTAAGGCATCACATCTAACGTTTATATGAAAATACCAAGGGGGAGTCGGGAGAAATTTTATTCAGGATTCCAACAGAATTTCTCTGACGAGTGATGACCTACAAAATACAGTTCGCTTTTGTCAGAAAAGCGAACTTTAGAAGTTGTAAATGAGAGTCGTAACAACCCAGAATACGACATTCCAACACCATGTTCATCTCTAAGCCATGTGAATTAGAAAATATGTATATTTCTGATCCTGGGGTCCCGGGTTCGATTCCCGGTGGTGCCCGAATTTATAACTTGTGTTGGGCAAGGCCGTGGTCCAGGTATCACTGAGTCGACTCTAGCCCCACTTGCAATACGGTATGGTAAAAGATTTTCAGAAAATACAAAACTCTCCAAGCAATTCTTTGTTCAGTGTAAAATAACATGGTGGCTTCATGAAACAAAATAAATTAGACCGACCAGAATTCAATCCCTTGACCCACTAGAAGAAGACATTAAGATGGCATGATTTGCTTCGGAAACAAAAGTTGTCTAAGATAAGCAACGTAATATTGTATCACTAATTCAAAATTTGCAAAGAATTGGAGTGTGTGAATTCCGATCCCGTCTTGTTATTCATTACGCTGGCTTTAAAAACAGAATGAAGGGCACATCTGGGGAAAAAACTAAGCTATATTACGTTCAAGACAAAGTCAATATTGATTCGAGTAAACACGGTTGGACGACAATGATTCCATCAATCTACTGATGTAGAAATACAGAATATCCCAAAAAATTCGTATTGTGGAATTGGTCCCAAATTTCATTCGGATACCAAACAAAAATTCCAATTTTAATTTTCGCCTAATTGCGACATGACGGGTTACGAATTTACATGATGGCTTCAGTTCATTTTAAGAGTTTCCATAAAAATGCTGATATTTCACGGTCAAATGTTTGTTGACTGCGTTATGATAGAACAAAGCAAACTGTTACTCAGTGCTTTTATTTTCTGTTTTGAGTGCATTATTTCAATATGAACTCCGTTCCTAGCTCGGTACATCCGGCATATAATTCAGCTACTGGCATGTGCACTCCAATGTCAAAGATAGCTATCAGAGCAAAGTTGCATTTTCTGTGACACTCCACGTGGCATAACCATCATATTTCTTTCCCTGGACACCCAACGAATATCCCGAACACGAAAGAGATAGTCTAAACGTGAATATATGGCGTGGGCTCAAGGCATGAGGTATACGAGTTGTATTTGGAAATGCACGACAATTATTAAGGCAGGGATCAGTTATACTGAATGGTATAATTTAGTAATGCTTGCTCAACTATTATCAGTTAATTTATCGGTTAAATTCACTGGTCGAAGATGTATACAGATATTGTAAATTTAATTACTGGAGTAAATTTTCTGTAGATTAATTTAGACAAATTCAGTAGATACCAAACACTTCGTGCTAGCAAAGAAGTTCAGCCATTAACACAATAAAGTTTACAAGTTTTACTTTGAAATTAATTCACTTAAATCACAAGGGTAGATTCATATGTACAAATCTAATCACATTATTTTCAAATTTAAATGAGAATTTAATACAATTTATTGGGGAAACTTTAAGTCGACCTCAAAAACTGCCAAAATGACAAATATGTGTTTCCCATTTTAAGGCTAAAAACTGCCACTTAAATGTAGCTCCAATGGCAAGCAGGCTGTCATTTAAGAAAGACTTCAAGAGATTAAAACCTTGTATTGTACAGTAAAAAAAATTAAAACTGTAGATAATTTATGTATATAAATGGAACACATATTTGGAGGTGAAAACACTTTTTTGAATGAAATACGGCAAAACTTGTAGTAAAAAAAAACATTCCTGCACTGTCTGCCCAACACGAGCATATGAGTACTTTTGATTGCATTTTGCTCAGTGACAGCAGTCTTTTGTTACTTCATGCAATATCAATCATTTGTATCGAGTTATTTTTTAACAGGAAGGTCACACACCCAATCAGTAAAATTTCAGTAATGTAATACAGCTTACTACACTACACTCAGCTCAAACAATTATCTACACACATATCACCACCTGGACAACCCTGACTCAATACTATAAAAAGGTATTTATCCTAATCTCATTAAGTCTGCAACTGATATGCTCACAGAAGAACTTCAGAAGAATTGATCAAAGTGATAAAAGTAAGTACAAGGATTATATGAGAACAGCAAAAATTATCTTGTGACTACGTTACTCATTCCAGGAATCTCAAGTGATACCTGATAATAATTAGAATCTTATATTGAAGACCCATAACATAATGAAGAGCATGATAATGATGTCTTAGATAGGACACAATCAAATATCACCTCTTTTATCAACAGATTTCCTAAGAAACTGTGTGGGAAGAAATTATTACCAAAACAGTTTCAAATATTGTTTAGACTGACAGATGTTTGGCAACACGTACCCAATGAAATACCTAGCCTTTAAAAGTAGGGTACTTTATATAGGCAGTGTAAAAGTAAAGTTTGTCCCACTATACGCCATGTAGGCACTTGGGGGGAGAGAGGTATAGCTCTTCTCTTCCTTGACCTCGGCACTAGATGGGGGTGAGTGGTCGGCATCACGCCCCGGCCGCGCTTTACCCCTGGGAAAGGACCCCGGTACCCATTTGACAGGAGGCCGGTCTGGACGCAGAGGCTAGAGGAAAAATCGTCTGCCCCCGTCGGGGATCGAACCCTGATCGCCCAGCCCATAGCCAGTCACTATACTGACTGAGCTATCCCGGCTCATATACAGGCAGTGTAATCTTTTATAAACTTCAATAAACACGCACAAAGGAATGACCATAATACCGACAGGTAATTAATTCGTATCACATAGTAATACTGTCTTGTCAGTTTTTATGCCTTCCATTAGTATGTAAAACCTTCAATATTAGGCTCTCTTTTCCATGCAAGAAGCCTCAGTACCATTTTGATGTTAGAGAACAAAACAATTCATCAACAGCATGGAAAGACATGCAAGAAAGACATCAAGAGGTTTAGGAATGTTCACATCCCTGCAAAATGCCTATTAAAGACACTTTGGTGATGAGATTAAATACAACTTGCAACACAGATAATATCACCTTTAACTGCATTACATTAGACCTAAAAAATTACTTAACACAATGGTCTCTTATCTAATTCACATTATCTGCAGCCCTATTAAACTATTAAAACATCTAGACTCCCCAAAAGTACACAACAGAAAAAAACAAATTGTTAGGTTAGGTTCACACTGTCATAAACTAACCAACAACCAAATCAACCATACGTTGGTGGGCCTAATAATACACTGGACAAACTTCTGAATTCAATGTACCTAAAACTGAGGGGGGGGGGGCACAAATCTGGATGCCACATGTCCGAGGCACCTGATCAAAAGAGCTAAGTGTAATAAATAGCATGTGTGTCTATAGCTCATATACAGTGGTTGAATGGTTAGTGCTGTCCCTTCATAGTCAGGTAGACCCCAGTTTAAAATTTTCCCCCAGAAACTGGCTATCCTGACTAATGCATTTTTAGGATTTTCCTCAGTCTCTACAAGCAAATAGTATTTTAAAATAGGTCATAACTGCTTCCTTCCATATCCTTTCCAACTAACTATTAATTTGGATCACTGCGCGGTCTGAGGCGTGGGCCTCGTGCCGCTTGGTCACTGGGAACGTGGGTTCGAATCCCACTCAAGCCATGGATGTTCGTCCGCGTTTTTCTGTGTTGTGCTGTCCTGTGTACAGGTAGAGGCCTTGCGACGGGCCGATCCCTCATCCAAGGAGTCCTACCAAAATGTCTATAGACCAAGGCCAACAAAAAAAAAAGTTGGGACCCGCAGTGCTCAGGCACTTGAAGAATGGGTCGTTCCCAGTATATATGTGTGTGTGTATATAAAATAAAAAAGCCACCCTGATACACGCCTGTGTGTGTGTATATAAAATAAAAAAGCCGCCCTGATACACGCCTAAGCAGGCGCTTGGAGGGAGTGGAGGAATAGCTCCTACTCATTCTTGCTGCCTCCATCATCAGGGCGAAGATGGAGGCAGCAAGGACCACTGAAACGTCGGTAAACATCTACCAGACCACAAGGCACAACAACCCAGAGGACAGCCATCTTCAGACTCACCGCTGTGAAAACCCCAAATCCTACAAATCTACAATCATTTTAGGATGCATACAATTCATTTAACTTCTGAAGGTTGATTTTAATACGCTCCTAAAGAAAAACTGATGGAGTGTCAGCAGTGTATAAAAATCCTGACCAGTTTATCAACGCTGTATCACTTCACAGAACTCAATGGCATCACTAGGCAAGAGATATACCAGCAGCTGTACATTCAAGTAATTCTCATGCAGAATCAAAAAGTTGTACTCACTCATTTGTTGCAATGTTGCAAGTTCACTCCTCTTTTTTTTGTTGCGCTCCTTGGATGGTGGGGGAGGGGTAGCCTGTTCTTGTTGCACTGTTGTTGCTGCCAACTTTTCTGCCTTTTTATCGGCCTTAACAGTGGACTGCTTCGATGGTGCCTTCTCAGGGGCACTCGGAGGTCCCACCACTGTTTCAACAAACGCTGTGTCCCCTCCTTTATCAATCAAATCACCTTTCTGAAATATAAAGAGTGCACTAGTCACAGCCACACATATTACAAGGAAGACAGCTCACAGATTAATAAGCTGTGGTAAGATTAACTCCATGTTCTGCCAAATTAGCATTCTGCTGTATACAGAGAAATCAAACAAAAATTAAAATAAGTAATACCAGAGTATAAAAGAAATGGTCACTTTGAATTCATCTAATTTAATGAACATGGACAGGAATGGAACAAAAATTGGCATAACCATATCCAAAGGATGCACTAGGATAGAATCCCGAAGGCGGTACTTCAATACAACCCACAAGGACGAAGAACTGTTGGCCGCCCATTAACAAGGTGGCAAGATTCGCTCTCCTGATGTGGAAACAGGCGCTATGGCCAAAATCCATGAAAGAAGGACAAGAATGGAGAAGGTAAAATTATTTTACCTGGTTCCATTCAGCACAAATGACAACACATTTACAATTAACCAGATTTTTAAACTAATGTTATATTTTTCTTCCAATTTCTTAATGTTATAACCATATATGAGATGCAGCTTGCACATTTTATGATACAAGAGCAAAATTCCCATTGCTTTGGTGGTGCCAAGCATCAGAAAATCCAGTTCACCTGCAGATGGAGCCAATCAGACTTCATCTTTAGTCCATTTCCAGAAATTACATTGCAATAAAACAACAGCTTAAACATAAAGAATGTTCATAAACTTATTCTAGCAATACCAAGCGACTACAAACGCAATTTCTGAATATGATTTACTACATATAGAATGTCTTTTCACATTTGCAAATTGAAAACAAACAGCACCTAAGTGTGAACAGAAATGAACTCAGCTGTGAAAAGAAATACAATTTACAAAAATGTAAATTTCATGAGACAAATCAATAATAAAACTTTTTATGCAAACAAATTACTTGTAATATCAGATACAAAACTTAAAATTTTTTCACGTGCTTGTAACTGAATTCTTCACAGCAATACGTGCCCAAAATGAGACCATCATTGCAAACTAGAAGGTTCCACAGTGACACTATAACACATCCAAATGCTAAATTGTGCTTTAAATCATCCCCATCTATAAAAATGTCTCTAAATCGAAACATTCTATCACAGCTCAAAAATATCTCCAGCTATGAGTAGTTGCTCATTAGAGACTTGAAATTCAAACTGTATTGTTCAGTAATACTGATGATAAGTTAATGATGAGCTAAAATTTTTACAGAATGGACTAATGTTTAAAGAATAATAACAATATATTTCTATAGACAGATGAGTATAGACAGACACACTTACACTTCCTTTTTGTTTTAGTAGCAGATCATCCTTTGGCTGTATCACCTCAAAGTGATTGGCTGGTACAGGTAGACTCTCAGCAACAAGGCTCTCTTCATCTTTATTTAATAGAATAGGTTTTACTTTTTCCTTTTTATTTTTCTTCTTGTCCCCCTGAAATACAAAACACCTAATGACAGGCATATAGCAACTATTCACAGAACCATTGAAGTCCCACTGTAGAGTGGCAACATGACATTACAATTATTTTTCTGTAAGATTTATAGGTACAGGCATAACTCGTTTTATTGTGCTTCACAGATATTGAGGTTTTAACAAATTGAAGGTTTGTGGCAACCCTGTATCGAGCAAGTTTATCAGCACCATTTTTCCAACAGCATGTGCTCACTTCGCGTCTGTGTGTCACATTTTGGAAATTCTCCCAATGTTCTCGCATTGTTTTTTCAGACATAAGGCTATTGCACACTTACTAGACTACAGTATAGTTTAAACATAACTTTTATTATGCACTGGGAAACCAAAAAATGTGTGTGACTCGCTTTATTTTGGTGGTCTGGAACCGAACCCACAATATCATACATCCTAACAGAGCTATACCAGATTGTTTCATTAGATCACAAATGATTTTCACCTGAAACGTTCTTCACAAAGTATTTTAACCTCAAATATACTTTGAAAATATGTGTAGTATGACAAATTAACATATAATTAGGAAAATTAAAATAATCATTTTTGTAGTTCAGATATAAGTAGCAGCATGTGCTCACATCATGACAAAAAAAACCCAAATGTTTGAGTTAAACAAGCCCTATCTCACTCCTACTCAGTAGAAGAATTTATAAATACATGTAAGTAACTATGGTGATGGTTTCTCATCATAATTATTTTGCTGTAATACTGTAGTTCCAAAAATCTGTAAATAGCTGTTATAACTATGCATTTATATTAGTACTAGAAACAAGTATTGTATTTGTGCTATGACCTGTTCTACATCCTTGGCTTAGGCCTATGAAGGAAGTAAGGAATGTAAATAAATTCTATTCTATTCCTAGTCTTTCCTGAAGAAGTATTAATATAGCTGAATTAACAACTACATAAATACACATACTGAACTGATATCATTGCAAAAATGCTGTAATGATGGAATTACTTACACTGTTGAAAAGAGTCACAATATCCACATCATTCCTACGGCAGTATCCAACAAAACAAAACCTCAAAACCTACACATAACTACTACAGCGTTATTTTTGCTATTAGGATTAACTGCAAACTTCAGTATTTTGGTTGTGGACACAGACTATTCAATGTGCTATCTAAATCAACAAATGTCTGAAATTTATAGAAACCCCAGCAAATATAACTGGCCTTTGTCACCTGAAGCTCATCTAATTCAACTCTTAACGTCATGAGCAAAAATTACAAAGTACCAACTACATTTGTGTGGTTGGTAAATTTCCATTTTAAGCAATACACTACAACATTAATTTGTAAATAGGTAGGCTACCTATGAATGGAAATTTCACTGCTAAATATATACCTGTGGTAGACGTTCGCTTACAACTTCTGCTTCTGGTTCATTGAAGTCCACATGGGTCTTTTCTTGCGAGGTTGGTTGAGTAGATGCAGATAAAACTGCTTCTGACTGTTTCTTTTCTTGTTCTGTTGGTTTCTCTTTCACCTTCTTGCCTGCTTTCTTTTGCTTCTTATCCTTGGTTTTGTCTTTACCACTACGACCTAACAGTAAGTTCTCTGCTGGCATATTTCTTTGTTCTGCGATTGCTTCTTCATATGTCTTCTCTTTTATGCCAAACATTGAAACCACAAATATCACTACTACAGAGAGCACAAATACTCCAGCACAAACTAGGCCTGTTTGGACATCCATTTTTATACTGACACCTAAAATTATAAGACAACTAAGATCGTGTAAAATAAAGGAAGGAAAAAGTTTTAATTTCAACAGAACATTTATATTCACTGAATGAAATCACTTACACAGTAAATGTCACACTGTATCAAAAATGTCGGTATGTACTGAGATTACACTTTATTATGTCCTCAGACAAGCAATGATCACATCACAATACTGGGAAAGCTGTTACTTCCCAAGTGTTGAAGTTCCATCTCCAGATTTAATCTTCGTGGCAGATTATGTGGCAGCCGCCAACGCAAAATCGCAGGCCTCTTGACGTTACCCACGTTTCGGGAAAAAAACACAATCTACAACTCCTTCCGATCCACGTCTACGTCACCTATGATAATCAACTCCTAATTCAAAATTAAAAACACTCAAACAACACTACTTTAGTTTACAATTGTAGACTACTCAGCCGTCAGCACACCACGTCTTTCAACACTGATATTCCATACATCCAAAACGAACATACGATGGATGTATGACCACGCCTATTACGAACAAAACCAGCACTGTGATTGGCACATGCCACGTTGTAAAACGTTTTTGGCAACGCACCCTGGTTAGCGAAAACTCAACCAAGAAAAGCAAAGATTTAAGGCAGTGCCAAAGGTTTCGTCAATGAAAACACCCAAAATGGAAGATTATAGCAGGGTTTTGTGATTGAATAGGTGGTTCGAAATTTTATTTTAACATAAAACGCCAGAACTTGATGCTACATTTGTTAATGGGTCATTTATTTGGAAGCAACCTTTGTAAAGGAGCTTTGTTTGTAACTTATAAAGTATAAAGAATATATCATAATGATTTGAAATAATATATTTTAGGTTATGAGTGTAATGTAATTTCTATATTTCTGTGATACTTTTTTTTAAAAACAAGAACTCTGTAGAAGTCTATCATGGAAAAGGATATACAACAAATTCTACTCAGTTTGAGTATCTAGAAATTGCTAGATATTTAAAACTGACAGTTATACAAAATGTCCAAATTGGCATTTCAAATAGCAAACCAAGGGTAAGAATAAAATATAATAAGAATTTTTCGATGGAAAAGGTGCATACAGCATCAAAATATAAATGTATCTCTCTGAATGTACATACCTATTTTATTGTTTATTGGCCTACAGTACTTATAGAAAATATTTTTAAAAAATATTGATACTTTTAAGAAGATGGCTGTCTTCTGGGTTGTAGCACTGTGTAGTCTGATAGATGTTAACCAAAATTGCTGAGGTCCTTGCTGCCTCCATCATCGGGTATTATTCATCACCCTGATGGAGGTAGCAGACTATGTAATGCTACAACCCAGAAGACAGCAAATTTGTACTCACCACCATAAGAACCTCAAATCCTATGTAGATACTTTTATAACATTTAAATGTATTTCAGAGATGATGTTGGATTAGCAGCACCTATAATTAATTTTGAAGCAATGGAACAGAGTGCAGTATGTATTGTGTCAGACTCACCTGATGTGAAAGAAGAGGAAGAAGTAAAGTAAGAAATGTTTGTTTGAATTTACTGTTTTCAATTTAAGGCATGAGTGAGGCTGTACAGATAAGATATGAGTGACTTATTCTCAGAAAGAATGGAGAGAGGGTGATAAAGTGGATAGAGCATGAAACTAACCAGGCATTCGTCTAGGGTTTGGTTATATACATAGGGTAAGCTTTTACCTTACATCTTTTAATATAATTTATGATTATTCCTACTTATGTAAAATTAAATGTGTAATTGCAGGGACAACGTTAGTTCAATTATTGGAAGTACCTTAGAGTCGGTGAAGGATGGTGTCTATATCAGATCCGAGATGGTGGTAGGAAAAGAAGAAGAGTAAGTATTTTCATTAGTGTTTGACATATCAGTAATTCTGATTTCATATCACAGTAACTCCTTCTTGTTCATAGGCTTTCACAGGTGGAGTTCAGTGTATTACTTCAACTTTTGGGTGAGAGCTGCGCGTTTGCTCTATACAAGGCCTTCGTAACTGAACCCACCTCGTACCCGCTTTGAAAATGGCAACTGTATTATTTTCTGAAATGCTAACAACCAAATATTCAGCACAGTTCTCTAACCCAAAAGCCAAAGTTATACAAAGTAACTCCTTTATTGTTGACTTCAGTTTTTCATATCTACAAAAGGTGTTTATTAAGTAACTTATGTGAGTGTGTTACACTCATACATATTACTTCAAAAAGACACCCAAAAGAACACGAAATAATGGACACACACTGTATTTCTCCATGTAGTTATCAGAGCAATTGAATACTGTCCCAGCATTCCAACACCTATTAACTTTTCACAGAAAAGAAATGAGGGTCTTAATGTGTGTATCAACCAGTGGGCAATCCATTCTCAGCAAAACTGCTCCATGAGTTACCTTGTGACACCAGCTGTATAGAGGTGGGCATCACTGAGTAGAAAGATTACTTTTCAGTAAGCAACCAAATGGGTTCCTTCGTTTGCCCCGGTGTTATGCAATAGTGGTCTAAATTCGCTGCTTCTCTGTGGTCCAAGCTTTCAAGAAGGAGAGTACTCCGTTCATCCAGAAATGGCATCAAGTGATAATAGATGTGTCAGCTGCTCAGGCACGTATGTCTTCCCTACAGACTAGAAGATGTTTCTCATGGGGATATGATGTTTTTCCACTCCATCAATGCTGCGTTTTATGTCAGGCCGGTATGGCATTTTATGATGCATAGATTGTTGTTCCCCTCCATGTGTTCCTAGACAAGAGAAGTTGTGGATGCAGCAACTGAAGGAAGCTATCTGGATAAACATGAGGTCTAGTTGTGGGCAGCCATTCATCATATTTATAGAGCTATATCATGACCTGAGTTTATGTTTCCTTATGCTATCTTCTCTCACCGTACCATTTAAATGGATAATCAGGCCAAGGAGCAGATCACTGAAGGAAGAATTCAATGGATTAAAGGATGGAAGGATCCTGTTCATATGGACCTGTCGGCAGACAGAACACTACAAAATAATAAAATCATGACCTGAGTTTATGTTTCCTTATGCTATCTTCTCTCACCATACCATTTAAATGGATAATCAGGCCAAGGAGCAGATCACTGAAGGAAGACTTCAATGGATTAAGATATTTGAACTCTGTGTAAAAACAAATTGTAATTCTTTCTAGCAGAATAGAAATGGGGCAAGCAGTTGTAAGCTGCTTGGAGACTGTTGGTGCTGGAGGTGAAGGGGCTAGTCCAATTTTGGATTCATTGGGCATTGTGATAGAGGAAGTGCACATAATGGAAGAGGTAAAATGGCATCAGGAAGAGGTGCCATTACAAAATCAACAAGAGCATATTCTTTTCAATCAGTTGTGTCGTGTATGTGCTTTGGAAACAGAAAATGTAGTGTCTGTGTTCGGAGAAGAAGGAACAGAATTGCAATTGGTTGAGAAGATACACTGGCATTTACCTATTGAAGTGAGTTGGGTTTCATATTACCTATAGTTCTGATAAAAATTACTGCATTAAATTGACTTCATTACTTTATCAAAACTTTTAGCACATCTCTTCAACTATTAGATTTTTGTACGTGGCTTACTGAAAGCTTCTTCCATCTGTCATAATTCATCGTAACTACTTGTGACTAATGAATCAGGAAAAATAGATATTTTAAATATCCATGTACAAGCCATTTTTAGTAGATACACATGATAACAATTATTCATTGGAATGTGTTACTGAATATACTAAAGCAATGTTGGCAAAGCTTCACTGCAGCATTCATGGAAATAAAAGTAGGCACAGAAGTTCTTGTGCTCATTTTAGGTGCGTCATTGAACATTTCAACTCTTAGGTCAACAGCGTATGGGTTAATGCACATATTTAATTTAAATAATATTTCAGTATGGTAACTTGAAGTATCTGGAAAATGCTGTGGCTAAAATACCAAAATAATGTGTGTTTTATGTCCATTAAGGTAAAGGAAGATGATAAATTGCCTGTGACGGTGTGTTCCTCCTGCATATCCACATTGAATTCCTTTCATGAACTTGCAACAACGTGCTTCAAAGCAAATGAAAAGCTGCAAAAACTCTTCAATATAGATGAATCAGATATGGTAATTGCACTTTATTAAGCACCTGCAGGACTTTATAACAAGATTCTATAATTTACACTATCAAATCTAGAGGCAGTGCAGTAAAGAACTGATGTTTTCTTTATAAGTAATTGTTTAATAATATTAATCACTACAATTTTACCTCTTGTTGTGAAACTTGGTGTTGCACATTAAGGGACGAACAGGGATTAATATTGTTTGAGAGTAAGTGCTTAGGAGAATATTTGGACCTAGAGAATGAATTGGCTGGAGGTTTGAGATAATAGCATACTGAGGAGCTCCATCATTTGTACTATCCACAAAGTATGATTAAGATAAGAATGCGTACAAAATTTTGGTTGTAAAACCTGAAGTGAAGAGACTTCTTGGCATAGATGGGAGGATAATGTTAAGATGGATCTTAGGGAAGTAGGTTTATTTGGTTTTGGTTGGATTTATCTGGCTCAGGGTAGGGATCAATGGTGGTGTTTGGTGAACATGTTAATGAATCTTGGGTTTTGATGAAAGATGGGAAATTTACTGTCTACTTTAGTACACTATTAGCCTCTCAACAAGGACTATGTTCCATGGACTTCGTTATTAATCATATAAAAAAAGTAAAGCAGTCTCGCTACGTGCCATGTAGGTCATTTGGGGGGAGAGGTGGTATATCTCCTACTCATTCTTGACCTCAGCACTAGATGGGGGTGAGTGGTCAGCATCACACCTCGATTAATCACATATACTGAGCGTAAGTACACATACCATCTTTCACACCAGTACTCATCAACATTTGATAATGTTTCATTGATAGATAATACATGGGGAATGAAGACACAATGTGAGTGATGAGTACCATGAAACATAACAAAATATTATTTGTATTTTGAGGGGGACAAATAAATGTTCTTTTCTGATTAACAAAATCCATGGCACAGAGTCCTTGAGGAAATTCCCACGCGTCACGGAACATGAAAGTGTATTTTCATGTTTACAAGGGCCTGCCACTGGATTTCAATCTGAGGAATGCTTTTTTCTCTGCCATATAATATATTTAATAGTAGTTTCTTGCGTATTTTGTCTGTATTAATGAAAAGTTTTCTTAAATTGTTTTCAGGTATTTGAATTTATGATATTCTCTCAGAGTAAGAGACTACATATCATTCACATACAAAGTACTGCAATACTTTATGAAAGTTAATTCAAGAGCAGATACTTTAAAAGCAATTCCTGAAATAGATACCACCATTTATCATGAATACCACTAAAAAAGTTTCATATAATATATTTTTTGTATTGGATGTTTTAATGTTATTATAATCCTCCACTGTTATTGCATAATATATACTGTCTTTAATACATTTTTGAGATTTGGTGCTGTAAGAATTTTGTTTCACATCCGAGAACAGTGTTTTGTGGCATTGCTAATAACTTCAGTTTTCATTTAGACCTGTTGGCTAACAACTTCGACTATCTGTGTCTACTGGGTTTCTGTATTTTTGCAATTAATAAAGTTTTTGTTTTAATGGTTTCAGAATGACTGTGGTGAAAATAGTAATTTTGCTGCAACACATTTGCAACTCGATAAACCATTGGATTCCTGTGATAGAACAGTTCTCTTCAGAGAAAGCATAGTAAGTAATGCAGCTAAGCATGAGTTTTTCAGTTAAGAAACTATGTACAGGAAAACTGTCTCAAGAATGTAGGTATGTCTAATTTTCCATCGTTGTCATCATCATCAGTACTATAATTATATCTAAATATAGGTCTTGGTTTAATTACATTTGTTACAAAGTTCAGTTTCTGATAGTAATACTGGGATACTGGGAATGACCGGTTCTTCAAGTACCTGAGCACTGCGGATCCCAACTTTTTCGTTGGCTCGATCTATAGACATTCAGTAGGACTCCTTGGACGAGGGATCGGCCCGTCGCAAGGCCTCTACCTGTACACAGGACAGCACAACACAGAAAGACGCGGACAAACATCCATGGCTTGAGTGGGTTTCGAACCCACGGTCCCAGCGACAAAGTGGCACAAGGCCCACGCCTCAGACCGCGCGGCCACTGCGGGCTCCATTCTGATAGTAATAATTTATATAAAGTGAAGAAGATTGCTGTCTTCCAGGTTGCAGCACTGTGTAGTCTGGTTATCAACATTTCAGAGGTGTTTGCTGCCTCCATCATCAGAGCTATGAGTAAGTTATGTGCGAGGAATCACTTTGAGAATGAACCAGTCTGTTACAGCAGAACCTTGGCCAGGCCACTGGGGAAGAAGGCGTTAGGGCAATAGAGAGGGGAGCATACCACAGCCTGGCCAGAAGGGGTATGGAGGGAGGACATGGAAGAGAGTGGGTGTGAGAAATGGCCCTTACCAGGGACCAGTGAGGTCACCAGACATGGAAATGAGGGTAGATGGAAGAAGTGAAGGAGGTTGAGGAAAGGAAATATACAGGGCAGAAACTTGAGAGGGCTACCAGACTACACAGTGCTACAACCCAGAAGACAGCCATCTTAATATTTTCTGCTGTGAAACCCTCAGATCTTACAATCTGAAGTACTGTTTACTTTTATCATATTTTTATGTTCTGTTTGATAACTATAAATATCCAGTTTCTGAGTTGAGTTGTGTTTATTAATCACTACAATTTTACCTCTTGTTGTGAAACTTGGTGTTGCACATTAAGGGACGAACAGGGATTAATATTGTTTGAGAGTAAGTGCTTAGGAGAATATTTGGACCTAGAGAATGAATTGGCTGGAGGTTTGAGATAATAGCATACTGAGGAGCTCCATCATTTGTACTATCCACAAAGTATGATTAAGATAAGAATGCGTACAAAATTTTGGTTGTAAAACCTGAAGTGAAGAGACTTCTTGGCATAGATGGGAGGATAATGTTAAGATGGATCTTAGGGAAGTAGGTTTATTTGGTTTTGGTTGGATTTATCTGGCTCAGGGTAGGGATCAATGGTGGTGTTTGGTGAACATGTTAATGAATCTTGGGTTTTGATGAAAGATGGGAAATTTACTGTCTACTTTAGTACACTATTAGCCTCTCAACAAGGACTATGTTCCATGGACTTCGTTATTAATCATATAAAAAAAGTAAAGCAGTCTCGCTACGTGCCATGTAGGTCATTTGGGGGGAGAGGTGGTATATCTCCTACTCATTCTTGACCTCAGCACTAGATGGGGGTGAGTGGTCAGCATCACACCTCGATTAATCACATATACTGAGCGTAAGTACACATACCATCTTTCACACCAGTACTCATCAACATTTGATAATGTTTCATTGATAGATAATACATGGGGAATGAAGACACAATGTGAGTGATGAGTACCATGAAACATAACAAAATATTATTTGTATTTTGAGGGGGACAAATAAATGTTCTTTTCTGATTAACAAAATCCATGGCACAGAGTCCTTGAGGAAATTCCCACGCGTCACGGAACATGAAAGTGTATTTTCATGTTTACAAGGGCCTGCCACTGGATTTCAATCTGAGGAATGCTTTTTTCTCTGCCATATAATATATTTAATAGTAGTTTCTTGCGTATTTTGTCTGTATTAATGAAAAGTTTTCTTAAATTGTTTTCAGGTATTTGAATTTATGATATTCTCTCAGAGTAAGAGACTACATATCATTCACATACAAAGTACTGCAATACTTTATGAAAGTTAATTCAAGAGCAGATACTTTAAAAGCAATTCCTGAAATAGATACCACCATTTATCATGAATACCACTAAAAAAGTTTCATATAATATATTTTTTGTATTGGATGTTTTAATGTTATTATAATCCTCCACTGTTATTGCATAATATATACTGTCTTTAATACATTTTTGAGATTTGGTGCTGTAAGAATTTTGTTTCACATCCGAGAACAGTGTTTTGTGGCATTGCTAATAACTTCAGTTTTCATTTAGACCTGTTGGCTAACAACTTCGACTATCTGTGTCTACTGGGTTTCTGTATTTTTGCAATTAATAAAGTTTTTGTTTTAATGGTTTCAGAATGACTGTGGTGAAAATAGTAATTTTGCTGCAACACATTTGCAACTCGATAAACCATTGGATTCCTGTGATAGAACAGTTCTCTTCAGAGAAAGCATAGTAAGTAATGCAGCTAAGCATGAGTTTTTCAGTTAAGAAACTATGTACAGGAAAACTGTCTCAAGAATGTAGGTATGTCTAATTTTCCATCGTTGTCATCATCATCAGTACTATAATTATATCTAAATATAGGTCTTGGTTTAATTACATTTGTTACAAAGTTCAGTTTCTGATAGTAATACTGGGATACTGGGAATGACCGGTTCTTCAAGTACCTGAGCACTGCGGATCCCAACTTTTTCGTTGGCTCGATCTATAGACATTCAGTAGGACTCCTTGGACGAGGGATCGGCCCGTCGCAAGGCCTCTACCTGTACACAGGACAGCACAACACAGAAAGACGCGGACAAACATCCATGGCTTGAGTGGGTTTCGAACCCACGGTCCCAGCGACAAAGTGGCACAAGGCCCACGCCTCAGACCGCGCGGCCACTGCGGGCTCCATTCTGATAGTAATAATTTATATAAAGTGAAGAAGATTGCTGTCTTCCAGGTTGCAGCACTGTGTAGTCTGGTTATCAACATTTCAGAGGTGTTTGCTGCCTCCATCATCAGAGCTATGAGTAAGTTATGTGCGAGGAATCACTTTGAGAATGAACCAGTCTGTTACAGCAGAACCTTGGCCAGGCCACTGGGGAAGAAGGCGTTAGGGCAATAGAGAGGGGAGCATACCACAGCCTGGCCAGAAGGGGTATGGAGGGAGGACATGGAAGAGAGTGGGTGTGAGAAATGGCCCTTACCAGGGACCAGTGAGGTCACCAGACATGGAAATGAGGGTAGATGGAAGAAGTGAAGGAGGTTGAGGAAAGGAAATATACAGGGCAGAAACTTGAGAGGGCTACCAGACTACACAGTGCTACAACCCAGAAGACAGCCATCTTAATATTTTCTGCTGTGAAACCCTCAGATCTTACAATCTGAAGTACTGTTTACTTTTATCATATTTTTATGTTCTGTTTGATAACTATAAATATCCAGTTTCTGAGTTGAGTTGTGTTTTGCTTGTTTTTATTTATTTATTTATTTAATAACAGAATAATGGCAAACATTACCAGATTTTCTATAACTTGCTTGAACATTTGAGGTTTCCTTTTAAATATCTCACTTCTAGATCACATATACAATATACCATTAGTTATATTGGGTTCTCCTTCCCTTTCAGCACAAGGCACCCAATATAACTGGAATGCAGAGATCTTCAAAGCGACCTAAACTGCCAAGCCATCAGTTATCAAAAGCTATTGAACTGTTGAAGAAAGCAAAGGAAGGACATGGGAAGAGTATGAGAAGTACACAAAAGACCTTGAATAAGTAAGTGAAGGAGTAAGTTAATCCTCTGAAATGCACCAGAACAGCAGAGTAATATTCAATAAAAGGTATTAAATTTCAAACTGCAGTGACAGATACTTATATTTTTTTCTTTAAAATTTTGGAAACATTTTAGGTGTGATTCTGTGACTTTGACATTAATATGATGATATTTTGCTTAAATAGGCTATATCTTCTGTACATAGAATCGTTGATGTAACAGTTAAAAAATTTGCATTTGTTGCGTTATGTAGTCTGGTATAAGTTTACCGACGTTTCAGATGTTATTGCTGCCTCCATCATCAGGGCGATAAGTAAGCCGAGTAGTAGGAAACTTTAAACTCGCTGCCATCAAAACCTGAAGTCCTGCAGAACACTTTTTCCTGATTTATATGAGCCTTGGGGTATAAATTAGGTGGAAAGGAGAGTGAAAAGTGGTTGAATCATTTCATAGAACTTATGGTGATATCAAATTTCATGAAAGAGAAGTAGTAAAGGTTGATACTTAGAAGCTTTGGCACAAAGAAAGAGGATGCCCTCTATGTAGGGAGGGATAGAAATGTAAGACTTGAGGTTCTCACAGCGGTGAGTATGAAGATTTCCGTCTTCTGGGTTGTTGCGCTGTGTAGTCTGGTCGATGTTTACCGACGTTTCAGAGGTCATACTGCCTCCGTCATCAGAGTATGAAGATTTCCGTCTTCTGGGTTGTTGCGCTGTGTAGTCTGGTCGATGTTTACCGACGTTTCAGAGGTCATACTGCCTCCGTCATCAGAGTATGAAGATTTCCGTCTTCTGGGTTGTTGCGCTGTGTAGTCTGGTCGATGTTTACCGACGTTTCAGAGGTCATACTGCCTCCGTCATACTCATCGCCCTGATGACGGAGGCAGTATGACCTCTGAAACATTGGTTAACATCGATCAGACTACACAGCGCAACAACCCAGAAGACGGAAATCTTCAGGGATAGAAATGTTTTTTACATATTGTATTAAAACCTATCTTGGTGAGCAAAGGCAAGGAACAATTTTTTTTGTAGGAAGTTTTGTAATATTAATGACGAAAGACCTTATAAGAGAATGATAACATTTAGTAAGGCTGTAGAATTGAGGGATATAGAATACTTGTATAAAACTGAATGTAAATGAAAGAACAAAAATATAAGTGGGAATAAGAAAGGAAGGTTTCTAATTATAGGAATAATGTTTGAATTACTGTGTAATGCCATTGGTGGCAGTTACGTTAGGCTGCAGTCTGAGAAAGTCTGGTGTTAAATGGATGCAATGTTCTGTACAGATAACTCATCCCAATAAATTAATGAATAGAATTTAACTTTCATTAAGGTTAAATTTATGTGAAACATTTTCAGTATTGCGAATATTTAATGAGGTAAAAGTAAATTTTATGTTTCTCTGGTTATGCTGTTAGCTTTATATAAGGGGGATTAAGAAATTAAGGTAAATAGTGGAGTATTTTCATTGTGTGATTGGTAACACTGCATACTGCAAGTTTGGTTCAGTTGTAGTCTACTTGTGCCAAGCAGATGTGGCAAAAAGATGGTTGATGGTTACTACACTAGGGGGTTTGCACCATGGGCAAGCTACATACATCCACTTATACGGACTTCAGTGTGGCAAACAGTTCTGTCCATACTTCACAGCCGATTTTTGAGAGTTCTACCGCTTTCATTCCTTCACACACACACAAAAAAAAAAACTTGCGTATTGCTCGTCTTTGGTGGAAACCTGCAAAGTTCTTTCGTCCATGGCACGCCCTAATTTGTCAAAGGCACATGATGGCACATCTCAAAATTTTGCCTCATGAAAATGGGGTACAAAAGTATATGTGTCCATAAGTATGTATCTACGAGTAAATCCTTGTCCTATAAGAATGCATAAGAAAACAAAACACTACACGTGTTGAATAAAACTATCATTGATGAACAGGTGTCTGTGTATTATGAATTATTATGAAAGACAAAGTTTTCCTTATAAAAATTCACATCATACCGGTTGCAGAACGCTGCTCTGGAGGAGCAGTTATCTTTACCTCATGCTCACTCAGCACAAATGGACCACAGCTGAACCACGTTCATAGCATAGCCCCAGCAGTATTGTTAATCATATTAATACAACGAAAGTATTCCACTGTTGCCCTTAATTTTTGAATCTCCTTTGCAGATGTGCATCTCCAATAGATGAACAGCAACAAGGTCAGTGAGGTTGGCACAATAGCAAAGAATGTATTCTTTTTCCTGTCTTGACTGTTACGTTTTCATACAAATACAATACATTTTTTATTGTTTTCACAGTGGCCATAAATCAAATATATTATCTAACAATGATGCTGCTGAAATGGACCAGTCTGGAGATGATCATTATGCTGATAATGAAGATGTAAAGATTAACAGTATTCCCTCTGATGACTTAACACAAAACACTGAAGAACCTCATCACAGTGGCCCATCACCAATTTGTATTGAGAAAAGTGAATATTGTAGGCCACAACGAAAACTTAAGAAGAAGACATCTAAAGATTGTGACATTTTCCTTAAATCTAAGATGGTTGGAGTAATGCAACATATAATGAGAAAGGAAGATGAGAATGAAGATGAGATTAAGGAAAGGAAAAGAAATGTAAATCGTAAAGAATGGAGATGTGAAACTTGTGGATATGTGTTACCAAGAAAAACTGCATTAATCATGCATCAGCAGCGAAAACATGCCCCACAGAATTTTTCTTGCAGCTACTGTGACAAAACTTTCCGCAATGCAATAGCAATGAAAGTACATGAACGGAGTCACACAAAGGTTGCTGCTGAAAAAACTGAGCCAACTTCTTACATGTGCGAGTTCTGTGGCAAATCATTCCGGGGAAAGAAGACATTGAAGGAACATCATCTAGCAAATCACAGTGATGAAAAGCCTTATAAATGTGATAAATGTGATAGAAACTATGGTTCCCTAGCCAGTCTTGACATTCATAAGGCCACCCATTCTACTGAAACCCCCTATCTTTGTGATCTGTGTGGTAAGAGCTTTAAGCATGTGAGCAATCTCCGCAGCCACAAGCGTTCACATATGGATGATTCGGACAAGAATCGTCAGGTATGTGATGTCTGTGGTAAGGGATTTCGGTCCAGGTTTCACTTATCAGAACATATGAATGTACATACTGGAAGACGTCCATATTCATGTAATGTGTGTGGCAAGCATTTCCACAAAAAGATCCAGCTTCGGCAACATGGTTCAGCACATTCGGGAATGCAGCCCTTCAAATGTCATCTGTGTGGTGTTCGATTTAATCGTAGGGGAAACATGACGCAGCACATAAAGCGTCATGACAGAGAACGCAAGTACACTTGCAGAGTATGTAATGAAGGTTTTGCTACGCTGGGAGCTGTTCTGAGTCATCGCAAAAAGCATACAAAAGAAGAGGTTGAAAACAGCATACGACAGCAGACGGGAACAGTAGATGACCCAGAGCAAGTGGCTTACAAATGTGAAGTATGTGGTAAGCTTCTTGCTAAAAAGGAATCTTTATCCATCCACATGCGTTCCCATACAGGTGAGAAACCATTTGAATGTGGAGTATGTGGAAAACGGCTGAGCAACAAGGGTTCTTTATCGTATCACATGCGCTCCTTCCACACAGGAGAACGGCCTCATACTTGTCAATACTGTGGAGAAGGCTTCCTGTCTCGCGAAGCCCGTCTGGTACATGAACGAATACACACAGGAGAAAAACCATATATATGTTCTGTTTGTGGTATGGGCTTCCGATGCTCCAGTAATTTGGCCCAGCACTCTCGTGTTCATTCAGAGGCTCGGCCTCATCCATGCCCACACTGTGAAAAACGTTTCCAAAGAAAGGGTGCACTTGATGTACATATCCGCACTCACACGGGTGAACGTCCCTATGCCTGTGACATGTGTGGTCGACGGTTCACTCAGAAGAATGACATGCTCAAACACCGGCGAACACATTCCCCAGACCGACCCTGCCCCTGTCCTCAATGTGGCCAGGTATTTTCACAGAAACGTGAGCTTGCTAAACATCAGTTGTTGCATATAGCAACATCTCAAACAGCAGTGCAGCATACTATTGAGAATTCACCCCCTACACAGACAGTACTCATCACAACAGCTGACAGTCTCATTACATATCCAGAAATAAATGTACCAGTAATATACAATTACTAGATAACAGAAGATATGTAATGTTACATAGTTCCACTTAAAATGTACAAGTTTTGTATGAAAGTTTTTGATTTATAATTATGTCATACTTCCGACACCCAATATATGTTGGGACAGTTTATTGTATAGACCTGAAACATCATGAAGATTTTAAACTGTTTTGGTTAATAAATGTTGATTATGTATGAAGAAATCTGACTTGAAAGGAATTCTTTCTTATTCTTCATTGCATTCTGTCAGAAACTTTTTCATAGGATCTCTTTAATTCTTAAAAAATTTGTTCAGTTATTGATTATTGTATAAACAAATGGACTATCTATCAAATCATGTGTGTAGTATTTTGTGAATAAATGCAGCTTGAAGTGCAAATTGAAAATAGAAAGTGCATCCTTTATGTGGGTAAATATGGTATATTAAAGTAAACATTTATTTTTCTCAGAATAGATATGTTGATAATAAAACTGTTACTGAAATTAGTTTATACTTGTATTCTTTGTGCACGATTGACTGGAGTCAAATGCCAGACTGTCAAATGTTTTTCAAGATGTATTCAACAATTCACCCCAAATATCTTGCATAAATAAGACAGAATGAAATAAATCTGTTTATTTATCTTCTAGTTCATAATAACTGTTAATACTTTATGCTTTGAATTCATATTTATGCTTTATATGCATGGACTTTACTTAAAGAATTTATATATTGAAGTATAGTTTATGAATTCATAAGATTAATTGCAATTGCCAAGGAACCCATTTGAAATATGTAACTTTATAATAGCATGGTCACAGTTTGGTCTTTGGTAATGAACCAAATGTGTGGAGCATTGATTATTCCCATTGGGACAGGTTCTATTCCAATAATCAATCGACAACATGCTGAGAAATGAACTGAATATGCTGCAATACTTATGTAACAATTACAGAAGCAATGAAAGTTCTTAAGATATTTAATACTGCTAAACCATTAACCCCAGAACTAAGTCAGGCTGGCAGCCTTATAGTATATGGATCTTCAAGTAAGAATAAACAGGTATAAACAGCTGAAATTTACTGTTCACATAATTCTTCTTCCAGGACAATAATCCATGGTCTACCATATTGGTGTTAGTTTTAATTCTTATTAACTTCATGTCTCCACTAGCTTAAAACTTTTTCTTCATTCAAAGTTTAATATGCATACAGAATCAGTACTTTATCTGTCTCACAACAAATAGTATTTTATTATTCAACTGTGAAACACATACAGTAAAACAGATTATTCATTTAAAATGTCTGGTCTTCACAAGATATTTTGGGTGAACTGTGGGACTGATTATCATAAAAAGAATTTATTTTATAATTTTTATTTACCTATGTAAAGGCAATTATAACATACATATTAAAGTCACATGTTAATAGCAGGCTTGTCAACAGAGAACTTTATGGCTTAAAAATTATACTAAGATGCTACCTGAAATTTAAATATGTTTTTGATATGTTTATTCATTTATTTTTCTTTTGTAAATAAATACTACTGAACAGGAACCAATGTCTTTTTAAAGTGTTTACAGCTAAGAGGAAGAAGTATATAAAGGCAAAGTTTTCACAATTTTTAGTAAAAGTAGTGACTATTTTCTCTTTCATGTTTTGTGATCTGAATTCAATACTTGTTTATTGTACTAATGTCACTTGGCTTCTTCAATAGCCTCATCCACGATCTTGGTAGTGTTTTTTAGTAGCCATTTTAATTGAGGAGTGTTGCTACTGGGTTAGAACAATCATGTTAACTCCATTAACATGGCTAACACTTTGAAAAAGAAAAAGCCTTACTTTTGTGGTTCAGTGGTATTCAATTAGAACACAGCAGGACTGGCAAGGTAAAATGCATCATTAGTCATCATCAGCCAACAAGGCATTGTTAGCCAATTAGTTGAGGCCAATGCTCACTGTCTGTTTGCACAGACACAATTATAAGAGATGCAACAGTACTGGTTTGAGAGGACAACAGACTGCACAAAAATCCAAGCTCTCATCTTAACATTGCATGATACAAACTGACAGAGTGTAGCATCACATTTCTTGTGATTATAATTGTGTAAGCTTTGTTGTACAGTTGTGAATTGTGCATTATTGAAAGTGAAGTACAGTACTCAAGCGCCAAACCTGTGATGACCCTCCTCAACCACCACATTGGAATTTGGCCAATGCTTTTGCCAGTGGTTGCTGTGTGTTTACACAATCTTCTGATCCCTTTCATTTCCTGATTTTACCTGCTTTCTGTATTTTAAACAGAAAGCGAGATTTAAAGATTCAAATATTTCATTAAAAAAACATAAATTTGTCATCTACATTTCGACCTCTACACACAGATTCCCAATTCTTATTTTTAAGGTAACATTAAAACCATGTGGTCCTTTCTTGTTTATTAGATATTTTATATTTTCTTCAAACAGAATTACTGTCAGGTATCTCATTGATCAACAAAATTATCCGTGTCATGATCTAACATTTTGTATTACATATTTAATATAACAACAGTTTTGCCTACTGGTGTCTATAAAAATATCAACTACTGATCTTCAGTGAATTTGGATTCTAGATGGATCATGTCAAAACTGCTGACGGTTCAGAAATTTTATGTAACATTAATTTACGTTTTTCTTCAAATCAGGCAGACATATTGGTGTCTTTGTTAAAGACTGTAACGAATGGGAGGATGAGAAAAGCCACAGAATGACTGGAATTACGACGGCCGCTGTACGCCTACATCGCTTCGGGTCTGCAACTGAAAATTTCAAGCCCTTGATTCTTAATGCACAGAGGGCACAAAAGGGCTCGCTGGATTGGTATTACCCAACGTCCACCTCTGACAAAAAAATCGGTGTACTTCACAGTCTAATGCCCATGTCATTAGCAATTGGTACACAAAGTATTATAGGCTTGTAATTACAAGTCTGCAAGGGCCCGGGAGCACAGTTAGTAATTGGGTCCGGGCCGGGCTTAAGCCTAGTTCAAATGACGGCAATCAAATATGACCCAGAATATAAAATGTCACGGATTTCCGATTACTTTTGTGCATAATCGTGCAACGGCGCATGCAGCGCCACTATTAAAAAAATTGTAGTGAGGATGATCGAACATAACTTATTTTATAGATAATGATCTCTCACAGGGATTAATCTCAGAATTTGTTGTTTGTAAATCCTAACTAAATATACATTTCATTCTGATATATTTATCTGCATAGCGTAGTACGGTATGGTGCTTAATGTTTCTACGTGAAAGACAATATGCTCTGTACGTACAATGGTTCTACCATACGCTGTCTATGGTTATAGCATTTGTGTTCTCCTGCAACATAAATGTAAAGTGAATAGTCAGAATACAGACTACAAAGTGGTTACATACGATCTTTTTTGGGGGGGCAAAGCGAATAATGCAGGATCGTCACACATAACCTCTCTAATTGTGTTACGAAGTGACCATTTGGCGTCTCTGTTGACATGAATTCCAATTAAAAAGTTATATCAGTTCGAGACTTAGATATCAATAAGACCTTGTACTGATATACGAAATAATTACTTGGCCTATAGAAACTTGCATCTTTAGTGTGCATTACAAATTTACAGTGTTCAGGAAAATAAAATATGCAGTTGATTTCATACTTGATAAGGTCTAAAAGGTCTCTACAAAACATCAGAGAAAGTTTATAGCATGGGAGTTTGGCTTGCTTCAGTTTTCTGTATAGCACCCTCAGAATCAAATTACGTACATTAAGGAATAATGTATGTAAATTATATTAGAAGACTGTGGGTCATGATTTAAAGAGAAAGAATATCCAATATCATGATCACATAAGCAGTCTTCTCAGTGAAGATGCAATGCAAGATTAGTAATCTATACTGCTGTAAGAATTTAGTAACAGTAGTGGTGACTCATGCATGCAATGTGCATCAGTAAGTTATGTAAGAAAGCTTTACCAAATGTATTGTGGCATGTTTCTAATTACTAGATGTGCTTCAATAATTGTAAAAGAAACATAGGACTTCTTTTTTTGTCACATACGAAGTGCTGACAATGTCAAGCATTTCGAGCAGTCACTTAACACACTGCAAAAGAAAATGAAGAGAAGACAGACTGAAACAAAGCAGACTAAAAGAAAATGCATGGAACCAGATATAAACTGCTTCTTATGTGCAAGAGTAGGAAATGAAGTGGATTTCATACCTATATTTAGCACAAAAGGCAAGACTGAACAATTGTATCAGAAGATAATGATATACACACCTTTCAAGGCAAGTATTGCTTGGGTAAAGTCTCCTGTTATTCAGGAATTTTGTAAAATGAAGCTGTTACCAAGGTTTTCATGATGCAAAGATAAATGTTGAAATTAAAATGACCATGTTTATCATAGAAGACCAGGGAAGTGCTATCGTTCAGATGTGACAGAAGGGCAATACTTTTAAAGTTTCTCAACAAATTTATAAAAATTATACCAGAAACCAACAAAAATTAGGAACCTGAAACAAAAGGTTTACCCTTATTTCAACCTACTTCATCTCCACTACTAGTAAACATACTGTAGCACAATCACAAATACATCCTTGTTTATAACCATAGAAGAAATTAACATTGAAAATGGATAGGAGGATTGGCAGATTAGGGGAGTTTTTAAGTTGGCGAGAAAAATTTGTGAACTGAAATCGCAGATGAATCATGATGCCCTGCAGCATGTCTGTAGAGGTCAGAACATGACTCACCATACCTAACGATTCATTATAATATCAGACCACTAACAGAAAGAAAGTCATATCTTCTCATCATTTTCATGTACCAACATGAAACTGTCCAAAGATGTATTTAAATGACACATAGTGGTGTGGGAAAATCTTTGCATAAATCTAGCGATACATTGTTCATAAAGTAAGGTCATCGAGGTAAAAATCTAATGTGCTCTAAAATATTATTAGTGGAATACCAAATGAAAGCCCCACTTAAGAGCTTTCAATTAGCAGAATAATTTGGTCACTATCTTAATCAGTATCATAGTTATAAGCATTCTAGTGAATCAGAATTAAATAAAACTTCAAATTTTAAAATGCTGTATCTCTGCAAATAAGATACAGGAAGGTTAAATTTTTTATATGTAACTTCTTAAGAAGACCCAGCAAGCTTGCAGACTTGTATTAGATCAGACATGAAAATTGGCAGCAAATAATCAGGTTATACCACTCCATTATGTGCGGAGCTTGCTGTAATTCACTATGAGACCTGGACCCATCATAAATTAGAAACCTGGTAGTATGTTTGCAGAGCATGACCACAACCATATTACTGGTGAAAAAAATGGAGGACAACTGTGGACACAGTAGTATTACGTTGCTCCTATGTCCATTCCATAATGTTCTTAAATGTAAAATTATAAAATTACTGCTCTTTTCAAACAGCAAGAGTCTCTTAGCTAATTAATTTTTCATATTTTTGGCTCAGTTTGTACCACAAATTTTTATGGTATATAACAAGAGCTTAGAAATAATGAAATGCATCAATTAGGGTCAGTGCTGGAAAATGCTGAGATATGAAACCAACCAAATGTTTCTCCTAGAGAATGTGCTCTTCAAGTACTAATACAGTTTGAATGTGACATTTTTATTCTAGGTAGATGAAAATGATAATTTGCAGCAGTGTGTATGCAGCACGTGTACTTATGAGATAAGTCACTGGCATAATTTCATCCAAACCTGTATTGAAGCACAAAATAAGATTCATGTTATATCTAATGTTGATTGCTTTCAGGTAAGAACTTCATAAAACAATTTTAAATTTACCTGAATTATAGCAGAACTAATCCAACGTTGTTCTTTTTCAATACTGAAACATGTGAAATAAAATATAAATATGAAATTGCCAATTCCTTTACAGAGAAACACAAAACATAGGATAGCAGATGTATCCTGTAACAATGCCAGTTTTGAATCTGCATCTCGAGAAGGGAGGCAAAAGCCATGCATCATAAAAGATGAATTGATTGTACCTGACAAAACTGTGACAACTACATCTGACTGCCAGAATGTTGAGTGTTTTTCAAATGCAGAAATTTTCATCCGAAAAAGATCAAAATCCTCAGCCTTATCAGTTGCAAAAACATGTCTGAATAACAGTAATAAAAGCAGTTTCATTAAGAAGTCTTCGAATGCATCTTCACCAGTAGATCATATTTGCAATGAGTCAAAAGGTAGCGGTCGTACATACTGCATTGCTCGATGGTGTGGTAATAATGCAAAGAAATCTCCTGGTATTTCCTTATTTAGAATTCCAAAAGATCCAAACAGGTCAGTGACAGTTCTTTATTTTTCTATATTAAGTACTAAGCATGCTTACGGGCACCATACTCATGTTTGCTTGACAAGTGGGACACCTAATACAGTAGCTCCATCTCTCCATAACAACTAAATTGATTTTTATAAAATTATATTGTTTGGGGGGGGGGGGTTATGGAAAATTGTGGAATGAACCATTTCTGTTTCAATTTAAATCAGTTTTTTTAATAACCTCTTTACATAAGAGCATTCTCTTAACGTAACATTTTCACTTTAACAGCATTAACTAATTGATCTTTGTAATGGTGATGCATTGTGTTTTCTTTGAGATAGGGCTGAATTTTATGGTTGCCAAGACATCACACCAGGTCTGTCCTACCCGGAAATCCTTGTGCATGTGCTGCCTGCTCCCCCATTCATAAGTGAGCATCAGAAGTGAAATCTAAATACAGAATTGTTGTGCTATGTGTATATTTCCTAACCTATTTTGATTTTTAGTAAGTAAGCAAGCAATATGCCATTTATATATGCATTGTATGATAATTTATTCAGTTTCATGAATGTTTAATAAGATATTTTGCAATATTATGCCTATCGTAAGCGAATGGGCAACTTTACGTGGTGATAGGGAAACAGTTGCAAGTGTTGACAGTGAAATCATATAAACAATTCTAATAATTCATAATGAGTATTTAGTTTTGTGCCATAACAATGCATGTTGTGTTCGAATCCTGCAGCCTTTCATTCCGTTTCTGAAGTAAAGCTAGAGACATGAAAGATACTTAAGGAGTAAGAAAGACTGCATTTTGTAACAAGGGTCCAATATAAATATATTTTTAACTGACCGACAACAAATTATCTTTGTCTGCGGTAACATTTTATTAGCTAAGCATTGAGTTTATTACTTGGTGAATATGCAGACTGAACAACATAGTAAATTAAAATAGATGAGTTCTGATATACAGAATGTCCAAAATATAAATATATATCCACACTATGAACACGGTGTTGCATGTGATGAAAACTTCTAGGGAAACTCATCATGTATTAGTGTCAGTCATTAAAATTTGAAATAGTCTGCACTGCACTGCAGACATCATAATGGTATTTCACACGTAGCCAGCATATCTAGAGGTGCACCAGCAGTAACCACTTTCATCCATCATTGCAAGTCAGCAATTTGCTGTATTTTATCTCTCTAGATGATGTCTTTCATGAAGCCCCCTGCCATGTCATTTTGTCGACCTTTAAATTGGTCGTCTAGAGCAGTGCATACCATGGCATCAGAATGTAATGGAGTGCCATCTTGTTGGAAAATGAGGCTGTCAACTTCAGTTATCTTGCGGAACACAAAGGTCTGTAACATATTCAAGTAAAAGTAAAGTAAAGCTGTCCCACTATACGCCATGTAGGCGTTTGGGGTGAGTGGAGGTATAGCTCCTCTCTTCCTTGACCTCAGCACTAGATGGGAGTGAGTGGTCAGCATCACGCCCAGGCCGGCTTTACCCCAGGGAAAGGACCCCTGTACCCATTGTAGAGGAGGCTGGGTGGGCCCCAGAGCCGGTCTGGACGCACAGGCTAGAGGAAAAATCCTCTGCCCCCGTCGGGGATCGAACCCCGGTCGTCCAGCCCGTAGCTAGTCACTATACTGACTGAGCTATCCCGGCTCATAACATATTCAAGTAAACTGTGCTAATGATAGTATTCTCAGTGTAGAGGAAGGACCCAGTAATGTGGTCTGACTTGATAACACACTGCATACATTTTACTTGAGGTTGTCATGAACATGCTCCATTATAGCATGTAGGTTCCCACTCCCACATTCTGCAGTTATAGTGGTTTATTACACCACTTTTATGGAATGTAGCATCATCAGAATTCTCTGGAGTCTTCATCAGCCTGTCAAAATTTATCTTTTGGTTATATTGGATGTTGTATGCATGCAGTTTCAGTCTTTCGTGCAGCACGTCAGTAACTAAACTCTTTGGAAGGTCCAGTCTGCAACTAACCTGTCAGACAGAACATTTTGAGCTGCGCTGAAATGTTACTTTTGATGTGTTCTGCTTCATCTTCTGAAGTGCATGGCCTACCTGGTGATTTTTCTTTCACAGTGCTGCCCATTTCTTGGAACTGTCAATACCACTGATGAGTGGATGTGTCAGTTGGATCATTCCTTGCATCCACTTACTACAAGCGTCTTTGAACAATCATGATAAACTTAAATTCCATGTACCACAGAGTGCTTTATGACATATCCTGCAGTAATTATAGGACTGAATGAAATTCTTGGTTTTGTGTGTGCACAAGTTGTCAGCATTGTCATCTACCATCTCTCCGCAAGATGGAGAGTTTTTAAACTGATTGTCTGCAGAGAAAAATTCAGTGTGTTGCCAGTTTGTGATGATGAATTACAGCATAATTACAGATATAGCTCTGGATATGCTGTATCAGTTGTGGACTGAAGTGGAATATCTGAAGGGCAAGTCAATGATGCTCACATCAGTTTGCACTGAATGACATTTGATGAGTTTCTCTAGTAGTTTTCATCACGTGTAACATTCTGTGTTATTACACTGTTATGTTATGTTACTGAAACCACAGAGTTCCTTTTTGGAAATGTAACTCAATGAAAAGTTGAAATAATTTCAGTAAAGTAGACAGGCCAGAGTATGACTCCTAGCTGAAGCATTTGATTTTTTTTTTTCACTGCTGTATTCAGAAGGCTCTAGGGCACACGCAGTCTTTGGGAATGGGCTATATCCATGGGGGATGGTAAATACAAGTGGAATATGCAGTTTACATTTGGTAATAAGAGTTTTGGAAATTTGTGTGTTTTAAAGTGGTAGTTTCAGCCATTAACATTCTAATCAACAACCACAGGTAATATACTTATTTCATCATAAAAATATGATGTATTTTGGGACTTGGAGTCAGTGGATATCCCTACCTGATTATGGAATCTGTTTCTTCCAAAATGCATCAGGTTATGGGAATAACATGTGTTCTTCAACAAAGTACAATAGTGCATGGTAGGCTTATTACAGTTCATAAATCTGATAAGTAATTAATCTTCTACTGAACGTACAGGGCCCTCTTGTGGTTAACTAATGCTGAGCGAGAAGATCTGAAAATGCTGAGCACGGACGTCCTCCATACAAAATATCTGTGTATGGAACATTTTAATGATGATATGTTCATGAATAGTAGTAAGAAGAAACTGGTTTGGAATGCCTTGCCAACATGTTTTCCAAAACCTAATTATGCACACACAAAAGAATCTAAAACCAATTCACAGCATCAACAGAAAAAGTCCAGTAAGTCATAATTTTACTGTAATTCTTACTGCAAATCAATTAATAATGCAGGATAAATGTAAAGATTGCAAGTTGTCCAGGAGGAACTATAATGAAGCATAAAAGTTTTCAATAATTTTGTGCAGATAGAGTAAACAATGCGGGTGATATTTAATGTTGGAAAATGCATTGGCCCTAAGTGATCAAAGGAGGTTAGATGTAAAGCCTTTATGCATTATATCAGCTGTAACTCTTGGATTAGGGAAATGATAATCTGCTGTTAACTAAATATGCTATGGATGTTCTGAAAGTAAGGTACACAAAGACACAGCAGAGACACAACTGCTTGCGGACATCATTTTCTACATAATCACTACAATGTTGGCACATTTGTGCCAGCAGGAAACCAGTGGACTGAAGCCCTTTGCAGAGAAATCAGGTGAAGTACCTATAACCAGGTCATTAGTACCACAAGATCATCATCATCATTCACAGATTGCTACCCTAATATGAAATGCCATCTGAGGGGTCCAAAGCGATAAAAGTCTGAGGATACCATATCAGCACTGCGAAACCTCCCACTCATACTGTTGGAAACACTATTGGGTTTGCCAGGCCATGTGAGATGTAACATCTTAGAGCATGATCATACTGTTTTGCATCATGGCAGTAAGGTCCTGACAAATTTGCGATGGTGTTTTGCCCTATGCATGCATAAAATGAATCACACTTCACATCTGTGTAATTGTCCAACTCTGATCTTGGTGCCATTTTTGTTTGGATGTCTTGTGCATATGCGCACACCTACCGTGGTCTTCTCACTGTACGAGTATTTGTATCCCCTTAAAAGTTGTCAGTAAAATGCTTTTACTCATCAACATATACTATGTGCTGTGCCTGTTTGTACATTGTTTTTGGAACCTTTGAATTCTCAGCAAAAATGGAACATTTTAAGTAAGTGTTTGAAAAACAATGTTGTTTACAGTAGCTGATAGTCACTCAGCTAGTCAAGAAAATCCCTGCCTTGCATGTAATCCAAAGATTTATTACCATATTTTTGCCATTAGACCCTATCCTGATTCAGATGAATCCAGTCTACACCCCCACACCCTATTTTCCTAAGATCTATTCTAATTAATTAAGTCATACGAGTGATCTCTTCCCTTCGGGCTTTCTATCATAAATTCTGTATTATGCAGTTTTCTCCAGCATCTACCCTGCCACTTCATGAATCATATATTTCACCATCTACTCGGTACAAACCATAACTGTAGTATCCATCATTGGCCCATCCGTCCTAGGTCAAATTCTCTCCTCCACACCCTCAATCAGTTTTCTTCCTATAATATCAGACACCAAGTTTCATGCCCATAGAAAACAACAGACAACACAATTATAGTTTCATATACATGTATTTTAATCTTCAAATTCTTAGATAGCAGCTGGGAAAACAAAATATTCTGAACTGCGTGGTAGCAAGCATTATCCAAATATAATCTGCTCTTATTTTCTTAATAAATTCAATTCTGACATGTTAACATAATTCCCAAATATTTACCACATTTTCTAAGGATTTAGTAACTATGTTTACAAGATGTCCTGGAGATTCTGGTCACAAGACATGAACATATAGATAGGTTACTTCCAGACCAACCTCCCTACTAGCTTCTAATAGAGCCTTGAAGGAACGTGATTTCCGCAATAAAACACGCAAATGTAATACAGCTTGGATAGTCATTGTTAGTTTAAGCTCGGGACCACAAAGAACTGCAAATTTAGTATTAAAATACAAGTTTTCCACATGTTAACAGCCAGTCATAATATCTTATCAATATCCACATAATTATAGGTTGGCAAATATGTTGTAAATGCTTGAATGTATGCTAAACATTTTTGTACTATCATTGCATAAGCACGATTGCTCACATTTGAATAAGGACATGCGCTCACCCAGTAATAATTCTGTGGTATTGTCTTTCATATGTTCCAGAAACAGCTAGGAAAATAATTTCAGAGGTGCATCAACCCACAAGAAGACGACCACTCAAACCTAAGCCTGCGTATGTTTCTCAGATTGTACTTAAAAATGTTCTTAACATGCTATTAATATTTATTTTATTCATGTAACATACTCAAAATGAGAAAAAGGTGAAGTACTCCAAAACAACAGGTCACCATATATATATGCATGTATCACACCAGTTCCGATTTATGTGAAACAGGTCGCAATCCAATCGGATTACTCTGTATCAGTTTTCAAACACTTCCAATCCAATGGACAAAATTCAAACAATTCATATTCAAGTCATGATGGGAAAAGTCTTACTAAAAAAATCATTTTTTATTGAAAAGTATAACAAACCAGCATGTAAAAATTAAAATAATTACTTATCTCTACTTAATTATGAAATATGTGCATTTAGTAGACAATGGATGAAAATCACATTGTAATAAATATTATTCCATGAGGCCCAAAATCTGTTAACAGCATTATCATGGCAACAGTAATAACAACACATCCATTCATAAATATTGTCTCATAAGACCCAAAATCCCTCACCAACAGAAGATCACCAAGCGTCCAACACTTGCTTATTATATAGACAGATTCCAAGTTACAAAATAACAAATAGCATGAGTTTGGGCCTAGAGACTTAAAAATTTCTAAGATCTAAAGTGTAGCTATTTCTTTGGGATGTGTGAGAAAGATACAAAAATTGCAGGAGTTCGTCGCATGAACTGAGATACATGACATTCGATTGAGGAGGAAACTTTATAACACCAAGAATAAAGTTGTTTTGCTGGCAGTCAGTCCTTATCTCGCTGATGTGATAAATGGGTCATTCTCAGAGTATGTAGCTGGTAGGTGGTTCTTCCGTGGTCCAAATTTGTGTCTGTCTGTCTTCATTCCTTTCTGTTGCAGTGAAGTTTACAATTTAACAGCAAAGTGTTTACAGCAGAATCTTTTATTGACGGTCCATTTGTAAATTCCCACGAAGTTGCATGTATCTAAGCTTGTGAAAACGTGGTAGACCATGGGTTCAGTGTGTGACAATAAGAGACAATCCAAGAGGAGTGTGCTGACTGAAGAAAAAGTCTGACACATTAGTGATTAGTCCTCTAAATCATCAATGCATCTAGCACAAGAAACTGATGTTTCTTTGGAACCTGCATTCAGAGGCACAAGACTAATTCAGTTTTTCCTGTATAAAATAACTGCATGAATTTGACAACCAGATTCACTTTTACTATTGGTTACTGCAAAATGTGCATGGACTGTTAGATCTACAGTTGCTATTCGTAAGTGATGAAGCATGGTTTTACCTTCGTGGTCATGTCAGTATGAAAAATTTAAGAATACGGCGATGAAAATCCCCATGCTGTTCAGTAAGTGTCATTATGTAGTGAAAAAATGGGCATATGATGTGCTCTAAATGTGGTTGATCATTGGCCTGTTATTATTTCAACAAATTGTAAACTTTTATCGGTATGTGAATTATATACTGAATCCTTTTGCGTTCAGGTAGAAAGATATCTAAACAAACACTGTGATTCCATAAAAAAAAAAGTCGGAGAAGACGTACTTCAACAAATAAAACATAAAACCACTCTTCTGCCATTATCCTCATCATTTGTTAAATTATCAACCATTATCTGTGTTGTTTCAGAACTGTGGAACTCAGTGCAGAGGCAGGATTGAAGAGTCACCCAGGCATTTGTAATGCTGAAGAAATTAAAAGTTTATCAGGGGCAGATTCTTCAGCAAACAGTTCACCACGCATAAAAAAGGAGGACTCACCACTGACTGAAATACAGACATGTCCTTTGAAGACAATGAGAAATGATACAAATCCACTACCAAAGTGTCAGATCACTTCACAGTTATCATTGCAGGCTAGCAGAATGTTAGACGTACCAAATACAAATAAGTTCACAACTAAATTGCAAGAAACAGCAGCTCACTCAAGGACGTCAAATATCATTCTATGCAATAACTCAAATGAAACTGTAGATATAAAACAAGATAAAATACAAAATGTAACAAACACCTGTGAATATTTATCTCTTGGAAATACAGATTCTGTTCATCATAAAGATTATCATAGTGATTCATCAACAGTGGGAGACAACAAAAGAAATGAAAATTATACCTCAATAAGTGATGAATCATATCTAAATTGTGACGTTGAAAGTTTGTGTTTGGAACACGCATTTCGAGAAACTAACGAAAGGATATATCCATGCCGGTACTGTGGCGAGATGTTTCTGGTAAAAAGTAATCTCATTTTACATCAGACAACTTACCATTCAGATCATCCTGTTGGATGTGAACTATGCGGGAAAGTGCTTTATAAATCTCGAAGTGAGTTTATGGAGCATGTCTGTGATCACCATGGTGACAGCTTACAAAAATAAACCTTTCAATGCTAACCTAAAGTTTCTGTTACTTACGACAACTTGGTGACTTAATATATCATGTAAGCCGTGAAAGGGCTAATAACCTAAAGTTTCTGTTACTTACGACAGATTGGTGACTTAATATATCATGTAAGCGGTGAAAGGGCTACGATTTCATTAGAAACTGTTGCTTTGTGAAACAATGAAGGAACCCTGCAGAGATCTGACAGTAAACACTCAGATCAATGATGGTCAAATAGGAACCCATCAGCTCAGTTATGATATAGTACAACTTTGTAGGTATATTTTTAGAGAATTCAAGAACCTATACACAGGAAATAAAATACTTCCACTAAATTTAAACTATGTAACTAGGAGAGCAGCCCATTAAAAGCAATTGGAAATTCTTATTATTAATACTAGTCTGATATTTTTTACATTTCAGAAAAAAAAGCACTGTGTACAGTAAAAATATGAATGACTCAGAATGAACTGATTTAGAAGAAAGAGTGAAGTTTATAACGTTGTTGTAATAAATGGTTGATGATGACCACACTGTTTTCACATTTGTCGCAGATATTCTTTACCGTCTTCATTAGTCCTTTGAAACATTATCCCATTGTAACACTTTTCAAACATGTTGTGTTTTCAATATGAATAAAACCCAAGACTTGTCTCTATTATCTGTTAAAAAATTAAATCCGTGGCGTAACATCTCCAGAGAGCCAAAGCCGACTAGCTTGACTGCTGGCCTCACGTTCACATGCCTAAGCAGAGGTGAACGATCATCCAACCAGATATAGGGTGATGTGTGGTCAGCACGACGAACCCCCAGCCATTGCAAGTTTTCATGACCGGATTACGCTACTCATTGTAGCTCCCCAATTTCCTCACGACGCTGGGTTGGCACCGGTCCCATACACTGGTCGAAAGCTCATGAGAAAATTTCTTCTCCCCCGAGACTCAAACCAGCGCGCATTCCGTATCACTGGTCCGAGGCATGATGCCTCAGACCGCGCGGGACCTATTATCTGTTGTATAACTGCAAAATTACAGGTTCAGAAAACCAACTGTGAATTTTTTAACCTAATTTCCAAAATCACTTGAGAGCTTTGGATTGGATGTTACTAATATGTCAATTTCAATAAATTTCTCTTCTAATCATAAAGGTATAAACAGATTTTCAAATGTTCTAAAACAGAATGGTTTAGATGAAGATCAGAATCTATTTTTAGTCACACGACCATCCTCATATGAACAGGGGTGAGGAGTTCGTACTCCGGACTACGAACAAGTCCCACACTCGATTGACTCATGTATCATCATTGGACAGGTATGATCACTCTAGGCATGGATTGCATCTTAATCCTAGATGCAAAAGATGCTTGTACAACTCACTACTGACAAAACTAGGTATAAGCCAGATACTAGTAAGATTCCTGTGATCACTGATGCAAGATCATTGACTTTTAAGGGATAACATCTAAATGCAGAAATAAACACATCAAAGAAACCTCAATAAATCAGCCAGTTCAGAACTAAGAATTCAAAAATTATAATCTGTCAGTGTACCATCGGAACAAAGAGGTTAGTCAAATATAAGTGATGAATTATATTAATCGCTGTTAAAGAGTACATTTAACTGAGCACCGTATGAAGGTACCAAAAATTTTACAAGTCAATTTCAACAACTATATTCTTGGAGCTAGTTTATGTAGGAAACGTCTAATGTATGGAGAGAATCGTTGACAGTAATAGTCTAAAATGTTATCAGATAGACATAATGAATCTCTGTATTTATCAAGATTTAAAATACTGTGCTGCACAACTGGAATTAAAATCTTCCATCACATACATTTTAACCATCATTTAATTTCATATCGAAACTTAACTTCCGAACAAAGATCAAAATGGCCATTGATAATGGTTTTATATAAAACACTTGGAAAGATCATTATTAAGTTCAGTGATAAATGGACTAACCATGACTCACGACTAATATTGATAAATAACATGAAATTACAGTTGCAGGAAACAAACTAGACTAATAAATGACCGCATTTATAACCCATCAAAGAAATGAAAACTGGAAATCAATGCAAAGATCCCAACAGAGGAAGAGGCAATGCAATACATGACCGAAACAATCTCTAAAACCTTCCCAGATATAAATTGTTCACCTGCGGTGACAAATGAAATAAAAAATGTCATTAATTTTGTTAAATCAGAAAATTCACATGGTTATGAAGGAATTTTGTCAAAATTACTTTAATCTTGATCAAACTATATTATTGTGTAAGATTTGAGGTTTTCACAGCGGTGAGAATGAAGATTTCTGTCTTCTGGGTTGTTGCGCTGTGTAGTCCGGTCGATGTTTACCAACGTTTCAGAGGCCATACTGCCTCCGTCATCAGAGTATAAAGATTTCTGTCTTCGGGGTTGTTGCGCTGTGTAGTCCGGTCGATGTTTACCAACGTTTCAGAGGCCATACTGCCTCCGTCATCAGAGTATAAAGATTTCTGTCTTCGGGGTTGTTGCGCTGTGTAGTCCGGTCGATGTTTACCAACGTTTCAGAGGCCATACTGCCTCCGTCATCAGAGTATAAAGATTTCTGTCTTCGGGGTTGTTGCGCTGTGTAGTCCGGTCGATGTTTACCAACGTTTCAGAGGCCATACTGCCTCCGTCATCAGAGTATAAAGATTTCTGTCTTCGGGGTTGTTGCGCTGTGTAGTCCGGTCGATGTTTACCAACGTTTCAGAGGCCATACTGCCTCCGTCATCAGAGTATAAAGATTTCTGTCTTCGGGGTTGTTGCGCTGTGTAGTCCGGTCGATGTTTACCAACGTTTCAGAGGCCATACTGCCTCCGTCATCAGAGTATAAAGATTTCTGTCTTCGGGGTTGTTGCGCTGTGTAGTCCGGTCGATGTTTACCAACGTTTCAGAGGCCATACTGCCTCCGTCATCAGAGTATAAAGATTTCTGTCTTCGGGGTTGTTGCGCTGTGTAGTCCGGTCGATGTTTACCAACGTTTCAGAGGCCATACTGCCTCCGTCATCAGAGTATAAAGATTTCTGTCTTCGGGGTTGTTGCGCTGTGTAGTCCGGTCGATGTTTACCAACGTTTCAGAGGCCATACTGCCTCCGTCATCAGAGTATAAAGATTTCTGTCTTCGGGGTTGTTGCGCTGTGTAGTCCGGTCGATGTTTACCAACGTTTCAGAGGCCATACTGCCTCCGTCATCAGAGTATAAAGATTTCTGTCTTCGGGGTTGTTGCGCTGTGTAGTCTGGTCGATGTTAACAGATGTTAAGACAGAAATCTTCAAACTGTATTATTGTTCCTTTAAGTTACCTCCATAATCAGTCAGTTATTGAAGGAACCTTCCCAGAATGACTTAGATATACAAGGTTTAAGTCTCTGTATAAAAAGATGAAAAATTCTACATCATCACATTCATAATTTTCCAAATTACTTGAGAAAACTTTGCTAACAAGTAATTTATTTCTTGAACTCTAACAAAATCATCACAGGCGAACGGTTTGGATTTAGAAAAGACATGTCAACTAATAAAGCTTTGTACAAACTCTTAGATGAAATATTATGTGCCCTTACTGATAATGCCCTTAAATCTCCTAATTCAAATTCATATTCAAATTTGGGAATTGTAAAACTTGAGGTTCCTCAAGGTTCAATACTTGGTCCTCTGCTTTTCCTATTATATATCAATTTCTTGTTTTTCTGTTTATCATCCTGATAGCGACTACTTTCTGAATTACATTAAATGTCCCTGCTGGCCTGAACAATGGTTTAAAGCTAATAAACTCATTTTAAATTCTAACAAGACAAACTTCATGAAATTTGCTAATAATAATAATACAATACCAATTTTAATAGCTTATGACAAAAAGCAATTGAAGAAATATTAACAACTAAATTCCTTGGTTTACAAATTGATAATATGTAAAACTTATTAAATACTATAAATATGAAATTATAAAATTTTGTTTGGGTACTTTATTGTGTGAAATGTTCATATTCATTCTGTGATATGTTCCACACCCTTCGACTTGTACTATGAAGATCTGAGGAATGTACATAAATTCTAATTTCAGAAATTCTGGACAGACACAATTACAGCTATTTGTCACACATATAAAGCTCATATCTGGAATTAAGAGATGAATTCTGTGGGAAATGAATAATGTTACATAACAAGTAATTAATACAGTTCTCATAGAACTTTAAAGCTGATTAAATGCAATTGATTGGTTTTTACACGATTCACGGATCTTAACGTTCGAAGGCAGTCAATTAGGAGTCACTAATTTGCACTCCTCATTCGTATGTATGTGTGGGAACAGTGTGATTTCTACGTAAATGTAGCACTTCGATCCGATTTTACCAAACTTATTTATATGGATATTTTATGCGTTTCTGTTGAGGAAATTCTTCTATTTCGTCATCAAATAATTTGCATTTGCACGTTGGCTAATGTAAGTACCACCAGTGAACGCATACAAAACAAACCAATGAAATACACCTTGCTATTATGTTTTAATCCAGAGGAACAGCTAATGGGCTGTCATAGTCATCATAGACGTATCTACCTTGAAAACCTGTAATGTCACTGTCATCGTCACTTTCCTAGTCCTCTGTTCATTCAATCATCTTATGACCCATATATTTTGAATAAGCAATACTTCATAACAACCAACACTACTACCGTCACCACTGTATGTACTTTTCTTAATTTAGCACATGTAGAAATTTAAATGATTCAAAATAATTGTTAAACACCGCAAGACTAATTAATACTTAAAATTTACTTACACAATTCCAAACTTGAAGCGGAGGAAATCGTAATTTAGCACAATTTCTCGGGTTAATTATTTTCAGACGGATTAAAATTACATCTTCAGCCTTTCACAAAACAGTTAAATGACACATACGTCTTCTCCGTTCGGAAACTAATCGCAAAATGTAAGCTTCATATTATTTAAAGTGCAGCATGGTGCTTGTTCAAAATTTTTCACATGGAAGAATAAATAACATCCGGTAAACACGCTCCCCTGGTTGTTTCAGATTTGTTTTATGACTCTTTTGCTGAATGGGTTGAGGCTGAAACGCTTCCTTGAAGGAAAGCAGCCTAATCCACAAAAGATAACAAAGCCTTCAAATAATCTATAATACTAACATTTAATAAGAGGTGAATGAAATAAAGACCCATATTACACTCTTCGTTTTGTATAAAATCAGAAGATTGCCAAATTAACCAGTCTGGATACTATATCTTACGGAAGCGAGTTCGAGAATCGAACTCTGGACTGCGATGTCACAATCTTTGCAAAGAAAAGAATATTAAACTGTAATATAACATTGCTCACAACGCCATTCCCAATAGGCTGGTATTATCTGTACTAACAGATACAACAAAACCCTTTGTACGACGTTTCCAGACTGATCGCCGATGTCCGAAGTCCCTTGTTTAGGCTACAGAGAACAGCAACTCTTGTTCTTGAACCGATGTGTTCATATAAGAATAACCCACAAATTCAATACCATTTCACCGGCATTAAAGGTGTATTTTTTTAGAAGTCGGAATTGCGACAGTTTAAAACAAAACGCACGATAAGGTATGATCTGATTTAAACAGACGTAACAAATCAACAAGTGGGGCTAGAAACATGGGGTTTGCACTATCACATCTTGAAATCTGCTGGCTTTTTTTGTCTAATGTATTATTTGTCCTGAATCATGGACACTGTTCGAACATAAGTAATGTTTGCATTGTGACCCTCAACGCGAATCATAACCCTTTAACTACAGTGTGGGTGGGAAGTAAGTAGGCATTGAGAAATGGTTATAACCTCTATATTTCCAATGCAAAGCTGCCTACTTACTTCCCACGCAGTTCCCTGTTCCTGGACACACCTGAAACGTCAGGGGCTCGGTATAACCTTAGACATAATATGTTGCCCATGAGAGAAATACATGTTTACACAATTTTTGCACGAAAACCTCTGTAAAGCAACTAGTAAGAAAACTGACATGGGAGGATAATAAAAAAAATGGATTTTAAAGGTGTTTAGACATAAACATAGACTGGCTCAAGATATGATCCATTGTCAGAGTTTGGTGTTGAACCCTCAAGTTATATTACCAATGATCAATAATGTAAACAACTAAAGTAAAATAAATTAAAAAACTTTACTCTTCATCTGTTCACTCTGATATGCCTCTTAACAGATGTTAAAGTTTCCATTTATTTTCCACATTAAATGTTACATCACAGAGATGCACAATGCTTGTAGGTAAAACTGTGTAGTTTCCAAGTTTTAGAAAACTGAGACAGAATTGTGAAAATTAAAATCTACATTTTAACCTCTGAAAGGAATAAAGAGAGAGAAAAAAGTGGTGGAGGTTCTGGGTTTTAGGATAAATTAGACTCCCTGGAAATGGGTTTCTAGTGGAAAGTTCTGAATGATAAACATTACTGTATGTAACTAGATGTTCTGTATTGATTGTCTGTATGTATTCTAGAACATATTTATACATATCAAAATACATGTGTAAACTGTGTTAACTATGACATATGTATAGAAATAAATGTATGGTTATGTATGTGTATGATCTGTAATTATAAATTATTTATACAAAAAAACCCAAGAGTAAAAATGTGTAAACTTAAAAAGACAGACAAAAAGGAGCACATATCACATGTTTCCACAAGGTGGTATTTAATATGGAATATTACAGAACTATTACACACAATTCACTGTCCATAAGGCACTAAATAAATACTTAAAAATGACCTCCAGTAATTCATAGAACTATTTGTAAATTCATGTTTTGGTGCCCTTTATTTTCAGTAGATAGTTTAAATTAAAAATGGAAAACTTTCTGGAATAATGTCACCACAATAAAATGTTCCAAAGAGAATCTGTATTGCATGATTTACTTCTGGTGAGATTAGGGGAATAATAAATTAAAAAATATTTAATTTAGTAATTAATTTCTGTGCACAATTTCCAGTTGTACAGTTTCTGATAAAATATTTCTCAGATATAACCTCAAAGTTTCATGCCATTGCCATGTTCAAAACGAACATGAAAAACATTTTATACAAAGTTCACTTGTATAACTCATCGTTCAGTATCACCATCACATGGAAGTTAAAGATTTCTGTGCAGCTGCGATTGTATTTTACACTGAAAAAAATTCTTTGATAATCTATTACCACATAAAGCATCCCCACCTTGGCAGATCCACTTGTTCACCAACTTGATAGCAAATTAAATAGAAAAAAATGTGTGGTTACCTCTGGTGTTGTGAATTTAATACTAAAACTTTAAATTTTTTGCTAATATTAAAAGGTGTGTGGGTGGGACAGACATGGGGGCATGATATCATGAGCATTATAAAATAAGAAAAATGCACTAAGACTAAGAAACATAACACTGACTGCTTCAGAAACCTAACAAATTTGCTATTTAGATTACAAATAGAACCTGTTATCATCAGTATGATGAAAGTATAGGATAGCAACTTGGTGCTGATCCTTTATGAGCACGCATGAAAAGGAGGGATGCTGCTTGTACAGTAGAGTGCTGATTATCCATTGTAATTGGGGGAAGTAAGGGCTATGATAATCGAGAAACACGGTTAACTCAAATTATATTTTATTAGAAGTATCATTATCAATGTAAGCAAAACAGATACACACATTTTTATCAGAAAATCCACAAATTTGTATTTTTCTGTTAGCCTAACTTGTTTTTATTTTTCTTGCATACCCACGTAGTGAGTCAAGTTACACTCATATAAAACAGTGCTGTGAGTAGTTAATAAAAATATAAGCACATATTACAGCCAATCTGAGACCACGGATAATTCACTAATCCATTCCACAGGTAATTGGGCCCCAGACAATCAGCAATATATTGTATAATATAGCAACAGCCCCACCTTCAGGGTTCGGCACTATACGTCAGATGTTGAAACAGCACCAAATATATTTAATTGTATTTAATACTTCCATATATGGCATTGAAAAATGTACAGCATATTAATCTGGAAACTTATGATTTTAATGTTAAATGTCTTCAATATTTAATGAATTTCAATGGTTTGACTATGCTTAATGACACCCAAGTATGAACATGTTATTTATGAGCAAAGATTGAACTGTTATAATGACATTATTACTTGCAGATTGATTTCTTTGAAGACTTACCATATGAGTACAGAGAACACAACAAAAAATCCTAGGAGGCTTTCAGAAGTTTCTTATGCGGCTTTTGAATTCTAATGAGGGAAGAACATCTCTGTAGTGTCATGAAATTTTTCTGTAAAGAAATCATGCTGTGACCACATTAGGAGCTACTGGTAGTGTTTCTTTTTGTGGCTGTTGGCCCTCCTTTAAATGCCTAAACAATTAGTACACTGTAGCGTGACCCAGGGCCTTGTCTCATTGAGCTTCGCTAATCACGCGGTAAATTTGTGAAGTCTTGTGCAGTTGTACGGAAAACTTAGGGACTGCTCACTCTTCAAATCACAACATTATGGTGTAATGAGTTCTCAAAATAACAATATTTGGCAAACTGAACAGACTCACTGCCCTTCATATTCTCTGTGAATGCATGGCAGAACATATCTGTGCATGCTCAAACATGAAGACACAGTTACTGTCATATGGTGGCTGTTGAAATTTCACACTTTCTTAAGGCCGCCATTCACGATCGCTCCATTCGTCCAAATGGCGCGGTGTCGCTCCAAAATTGTACAGTGAATGCGGAAACTGAAGTCCATTGGCGTGGCGTGGTGGGCTCGTTTGGATATTGTGTCGAGCCATAATCCATCGGATCGCTCCATCACTCCATCGCGCCATCGTATCGTGAATGGGGGAATCGGCGATCGAGCCACTCCAAATCGGTTCGTGAGTGGCGGAAACGTGGTCCATTCTCATGCCAGTCTGCCACGAGCCTTCGTCCAGTGAAGTCCAAACTTGTATAATGTCGGGTCGTGAGTTTGTTATTGAGGTGATTGAGAAATATAGA